AGAACAAGTAAAATAAATGTAGAATAAAGCAGGGAAGGCAGTTTGAGAGTATAGGAGTTTAGGAGGGGAGTACAATTTTTAACAGCATTATCAAGTAAAGGGACAATAGTACTTACCTCAAGGAAGATTAAATATGAAGATTAAGTGTCATAATGAACATAAAACACTTTGAAAAATGATTGATATACATACTTTGTAAATGTTAGCTATTAATATTATTTCTAATACTACTACTACTACTAAAACTATCACACCACAACTATCTAAAACATAGGTTATAATTCTCTTTTAAGAGGAAAAAACTGAAGTTCAGAGAGGTTAGGTAACCTGCCCCAAGGGACACAGACCATAAATGGCAGGACCAAGATTTGACACCAGCTCTGTAAGTCTGTCTTTATCCAAAGCCCATTCTTTTTCCATAATATATAACCATAAATAACCAAGGCATTTTTGACTCAAAGGGCTTGCACTTCATAATAGTTGCAAGTACAAAACTTAAATATATATTTGGCATATCAAGAAAGAATTGGGATCTAAGTCAAAGCAGACTTAGGGATAAATGTATTTGTTCCCATAGGGAGTTTTTCTTTGTTTTTATTATATTTATCATAGATTTTTAGGCAATCTGTACCTTTTTTATTACCTTATGTTTTTGTTATCATGGCTAAGTTAATAGTATGCTTTATTTTATTTTGTTGTGTGTTTTTTAAAAAATCCCCATTATTTTAACCAAAGGATCATATCAGCCCTTATCCAAAAAGACAACTGCAATGTGGTACTTGTTATACAAGGAAAAGATTCTTTCTCAAGGTCATGTGAGGTAATTTTCTTTTCTCTAATAGACTACATCTGTCAAACTTCAAAAGGACAAATCAACTCCATAAAAAATGAAGATTGTTATAGCCAATCTTTTAAAAAAGGAGGGAGGAGGTATTTAAAAAAAAAAAAAAGAAAGAAAGAAAGCAAAAGCACCCAAAGCGCGGCTAAATGAAATATTTTACCTAATCCAAGTGGATGTGGAATAGCAAGGTAGAAAAGATTATTATTTATATAGAATCTCACCTCCCCAATTGGTTTTACACATGGACTTCAAAGGAATGTGAAGGGTCATAATACATGCTATCAGTGGAACTTACCAAGTTTTCTGAGGAAAGATACAACTTGATTATT